GACTATTGGATTGTTGTTTTTTAAACTCCTTAAAACTTTAATTGGCATTTCGCTCTCTGTTAAGTAATAGATTAGTACGTCACCATAGATACACACAAAGCAGTCAAGATACAGACTGTCAATTCAGTATATTTAGATTGTTGCAGTGTACCTTACCTGGGTGATTCCCTTGTATTAAATTCACACTTCAGCTTTATTTTAAAGTTTTTATTCAGTAACTTGTCTGAAATAAGTGGTTTCTTTTCTTTTTCAGCTGACCCTCTGGTTGGAAGTATTGCCACTCAGTATATGACTAACAGAGCAGAGCATGACAGAATGGCCAGACAATGGACCAAAAGATACGCTACATAAATTGGATTTTCGTCAAACTCTTACATTATTTGTCTGTGATGGAAAGAGCTGCTTATGATTTTGGAGGGGTGGGGGGAGGGAGGGTGCTGGTAAAGAGTAGGGTATTTCTATAACAGATTTTATTCAGTCTTTTATTTCCTAAGATTTTGTTGTTGTAACTTAAGGTATCTTGCTACAGTAGACAGCTAGGATTGGGAATAGCATATTTTAAGACTGTAATTAGTTCAGCAATATTAGCTCACATATAGTACCGAGAAGAATGTAAACTACTTAGACTTCTTTGGTTTTCAGTTTGCTTGCAATATGTAAAAGATTAAAACAGCTTAATTTTGTACAGGTACATATGTTGACATTTATGTAAAAGTCCTTTCAAGACTCTACACACTGTTTTTGCTTTTTGTTTTGTTTTGGGTTTGGGTGGTTTATTTTGTTCTGGGTTGGGGTTTGGTTTTTTGGTTTTTTTTGTAAAAAGATATCGGGATTGTTTTCCCCTATGGAGGGCACATTGGTATTTAACAAATCCTTTTTAAAGACTGTCATCTCATGATCTGTGATACGGAGAGGTGGATATATGGCCTCATATATGAAATGAGAAGTAGTTAATGTATTATTTTATAAGCCAATCTATCTTTGTGAAAAGAATAAAGGGTTTAATCAGGACTTATGGTAACCTGTAGTGAAATACCTTAAGCTGTTTAACTGTAAGACGTGGAATAGGAGTCACTCAGTGGATTGGTTGTATGTTGTGGGCTACTTAAGTCTGCATTTGTTACTGTGCTAATAAAAAGATGTTTAAAAAAAAAAAAGAGAAGAAGAAGAGATTTCTGCTTAGTGCCTTGCTTTGTCATTTTGCCAGAACAGTGTCTCCCAGTTCGCCCTGAGGATTACAGTACGGATGAGGACAAGGGAGATCTGCAGGTGAGTGCACTGACTGCTGCTATTTTGGGAAGACGGTTCTAGTCAAGCATACAATGAATGACAGCATAAGACTTTTTCAGCTGTTTACTGTGTAAGTCCTGCACAGGCTGGCGCTGCCCGTGAGGAGGTAACCTGCCACGATGTCCATGCTAGTTACTTTTTTGCTTAAGTTTTCACAGCTTTGGCTTTTTAGGACTAGCACGTTATTTTGAAAGTACAAGTGGAGAAGTGTAAGAGATCTGGAAGGGAAACAGGCAGGAGGTAAAAGGAAGAAGAGAATATCTTCATGGTTTTCTGATGGAGTGGTCTGTTCCCCCTTGGAAGAGGAGAAGGAATCGTGTCCTGGTAAGCTAGCAGAAGACACCTTAAAGGAGAGTAAAGGAGACTTAATCTGTAGATCCTTTAACCACCTACAAAGATTATCTCCTAGAGACATGGTGTTTACGTTGAGGTGTGAAGCAACAGGGCAGTTAGTTGTGGATATGGCATTTTTGACCACTCCCTTAAGGTAAAGGCCGGAAGTACAGACTGATTTTCACATGGCGAGTGCTTCACCTTGCGACATTCTTCTGAGTGCTATGTGGTCATCTGCGCTCTCGTGTTTGTTTTGGTACTTTAAAATAAATTCTGTATATGCTTTATTTATATACTTCTCTTCCTATCTGTATATAGATCGAACCTAACTTGGTCCAAAGAGATCTGTTAATTAGAGGTACCCTTCCTTTGCTGGGTGGGTGTGGGTAGTCGTACGTTAGCCTCATCTGCTGAACTGCCTTCTCTTGACACAAAGTGTGTTTTGGTGTATGAGCTCCCTCAGCTGTTTGGCTCAGCCAAGGAAAATTATTGGTATATGGCTATATCACACCAGGAGCATCTCTGGTAATCGTTTCCTCCTCTTCATTACTGACTGAGGATGTAAATGTCTTAATCTCAGTAGGTTTTTGTCAGCTCCTTGCTTCGTGCTACCAGGGCATACCAAATGAACTGTTGTAGCTGGCAGGGGGAAGGGAGCTGGTTTGGGGTGACTAAAAAAAACAGCAGGATGGAGGTTTAAGAGGAAGAGAGAAAGATGGTTCAATTTACTAAGTTATTTTTCTTTTTTACAATAACTTTTCTCCATTAGCTTGCAAAGGGACTGTCTAGCTTTGTAGTAGGTAAGTGCTCCCAGTGACCTAGGACAGATTTTGAGTCCGTGGAACAGTAAGAACAAAACACGTGTTCTGCCCTTTAAATTCTACATTATACTCTGTACTTTACTTATTAACCCTATGTAAAACTGTACTAGAGTGAGTTTCATTTTTACTCAGTACCAGCCAGCATGCATAGATCGTTTGCAGAGGAGACAGTACCTTCTCCATCACTTTTCAATAAAATACTGTGGTATTTTGAAAATAATTGATTTGAGTGCTTAAAAAGCATCAGAGTAAGCCTATGAAAGAAAACAGTGGGTGGTGATTGTTTATGTGAATGCCCCAAATGATCTAAACTAATTTCTTATTAATTTTACCAAATCAAAGATAACGTGTTTGCCTTTATGTAACCTGTTTGGAAAAAATGGCCTTAGTCATTCAGCAGATCCCTTTTCGTCTTGCCTTTCTTAAAACATTGTCAAGTCCTGAGTGTCCAGGGGAGTGAGTGAACGAGCTGATGTCACACGACACGGCCCTGACAGCCTACAGGCGACATCAGTCTTGGCAGTGGAATTGGCACTGAGTCTGCGGGGTGCAGGACTGGACAGGGACCAGTTACCTCTGTTCCTTCCACCTCCACATGTTTTAAGTTGATTCTGACTTGTCAACCTGCACTCTCTTGGCTCAAGGGTCAGCTTCAGTGACGATGTGTGGTTAGCAGAGGTCTTCGCTTGTTTTCTGATTGATCCAAAGCTGAATTCAAGTCCCTTCTAGAAGAAGGGTTCTGCAGAGCTGGAGAGGAGGAACATAACCAATTCCTTGGTGAGAGGTTGCAGCAAGGAGGTGAACCGCTGCTGCTCTGAAGTCACCCCCATTTCCCAAGCACGCTGGCAGATGCGGAGTCTTCTAGGGTAGGGAGAAGCTTCAGGTACATGTGTGTTCGGTCGGAAATGAGTGAGGAGGGAGTGTTGTTCTGCAGCATCGCTGTGGACAATGACTATTGCTAGCCAGGTTGGGGGAGGTCGTGCTATAGTGCTTACTCAGCTGCAGTGTTGCAATGGAAACAATTGTATGTTTCTAGCAGGGCATTACAAGAACTTGCTCATTCATAATTGCTCCCTTATCTTACTCCTTGGCCACAGCAATCCAAACTATATTGAGCAAAGCACATAAACAGTTTCGTCTGCCTTCATTATAAAGGTAGGAATATCTGCTTAATTTTTAGTGAATTGTACTGCCGCTCTGACATTAGTAATGCTGATGGACTTTATTTGTCAGTATGCAGGAAGAGTGATGCTATAAGGACACAGCTTATTTGTGATCATTAAGCATGCTTACTATTTAGCAGTTATGACAGTGTAAATACTGCTGGTGGCTTTGCTGACTCACAGTGAAATTCTCAATATTTGTTCAAGACAACGTTAATTTAGTGGAAAATGGGGGAACTGGGTATTTTGATTCACTCCCTGTCCCCACTCTTGTCTTCAAATATAAAGCAAAGCTATTATCAATTAGTGTAAGAGGTGGTTAGAGGCCAAAAGCTGGCTGCTGTCTCTGGGAATGGTTGCTCATTCTGTCCCTCTATATCCAATTTTGTTTAGTTTACTGACAGGGTGACCTAGGACAGCAGATTCCTGCAGCACAGGTTTACCAGCGCAGAGAGTCAAATACAGGCATACAGTTGCGCTCCTGCTGCCAGACAACGTGCAGCGTATTAAGCCCAAGGTCATTTGTACGGATGTTTCTGAGCATTGGCCATGGGGATGCTCCCAAAAGGCAGCCTCCTACCCTCCCTGGCCCCCTCTCACAGAGTAGTACCAGTTGTTATCTGGCCTGTAGCTTCGTACCGGGGGTGGATTACTGCCACTTGGCTGAACAGCTGGGTAGGAGCATTATGCAATGCACTATGCAGAGCCCGGGCAGTACCTCCTGCATACAAAATTGCTCTGTATAATTTCTGAGCAAAATTATCACCTATGTGAATGTGACTGATTTGTACTGGACATGCTGGAACAAAACCGCGTACAGCTATGTTGTCCTTCAGGTCGCAGTTAAATTAATGACTGCTCTGAGAGATTTTCTGGTTTGTACAAATAAATTCCTGAGCTGAAAGCACCACTTGCCAGACTTTGCTGACAAGCTTCATGTCAGGGTAGATCTGTTCTAGTATCTCCCACAAGATTTGTTTGGTTTTGGGTTTTTTTTTTCCTTCTTTTTTTTTTTTTCTTCCAGATGCTAGCAGAACTTCAGCAGCTAAATCTGCTGGTAGTTGTTCCTCCTGCCCCACACCCTTCTCCTGCAACAACACATTGACCTCAGCTTCCTGCAGCATCAAAAAGCCCTGTGGCCCTGTTTAAGGCCAAGGTAAAAGGACTGTCGCCTGTTCAAACATATCCTCTCTCCAAATTGAATGCTTTATTGCAGCTAGTACTATTTGTGGCTAGAGGCTATAGATCTGCAGGGGGATTGCTTAACTATAAGCTTGTCGATTTGTCCCTCAACATGGCTGTATCCAGGCATAGTCAGGGCCCCTGCTAGAGAGGTGTCCACCTGTCCCTCCCTCCTCCATAACCCTTGTTCCAACGTAACTCATGAAGTGCTTTTTAAGGCTTTTACCACCAGTGACTTTTTCAAGCCAAGTCCATGAGAAGGAAGGATACCTCTTAGCCATAAGCTTGCTGATTTTATTGCTGAATGAGATTATTGCTTTAAGTGAAACTCTGAGAAGCAAATGGCACAGAAAGGACTTGGGCTGTGACCTGGCAGCAGCAGACAACACTAAGGTAGCTTAGTTATCACAGTTATTCCCTTTGCTCTTCCTTCCAGGCAAGGGAAATGTTGATTTGTTCTGGGACTGGGAGAGTTTGCTAGCTAAGAAGGTGAAGGGCTCAAGCAGTGTTTTCCGATCTGTCACAGTCACTTCCCACAGTCTCACTTTCTCGGCCCTTGCCCACTGCTGTGCTGCTTCTGTTTCCACTTGCCTTTGGTCCAGGAGGTCAGTTTTGTTTCCCAAGACAATAACTGTTACCTACAAACAAAATGAAAGGGTGAGCTTTATACAAAAAGCATCCACCGCTCACAAGGCTTTTAAACAGCAGGCAAGTAGCAACACAGTTCAGACCTGTTCTTTAACTTAGCACTCGCACAAGGTAAGCTGTGTGTAGTTTAGAAGATCAGGGTCTGGGATTTGAATTAGCCTCATCTACTTGCGGGCTGGGAGCTGGTTTTAATCATAGGATGTGCAGGACTTCCCCTTCTCCCTTTGGTTGCTTAAAGGGAAACAATACCCAAGACAGCCAAAGTTAAACAGCGCTATTCTCCATTTACTTGCCAATTGAGCTGCCCTAGACAAATGATAAGAGCATGACACCTGAGTAGGTCAGAGCAGTGAATACTCGAGAGATGAAAAAATGCATGGCAGCAGAGAAAGCCTGGACCCCACCGCTGTGGATTTTGCCCAGCTTGGTTTTTTCCCAAGCCCCAGCCTGCAATATCAATAAATATAAATAATTCCAGCCCTGCCACGAGGCAGCCTGTGCCAGCAGCCCGGGCAGGCCGCTCCCCAGGCACGGTAAAGCCACTAGAGGGACCTCAGGGGACAGCCTGCTGTCCTGGAAAGGGTCAGATAAGCACCAGCACCATCTTCTCAGAAGGAGTTTCAAGAGCAGCTGGTTAGCTAACTGGAGCAGCGCAGCTGTATCAAGTCAGACCCTTAGTTGTAAGGATCCGTCAAGTGACTTGGGTTGTCACCGAGACAGTACAGTGTGGCTGAGCGCAGTGGCCTGCCCGGTACTTCATTTCTAGGAAGCGCTGAAGATGGTGCTGGCCACTTAAAGTTACTGCGCATGCTTATTTTAAGTTAACCATTTTCTAAAAATGTTTTACCAGCATCAGCTCTTAGGGGAAACCATGCCTATATTTATAATTCAAGGTCCTTCGTCAGACTCTGTCCTCATCTCTGCATTAGTGGTTTGACAAAGATCAAGTGATAAAGTCCTCTCTTGCTGATGATTCGGGGTTTTTCTGTGGCCACACCTGCTTGCTCTTTCCTGTTCATCAGGCTAACTCCAGGATGTCTTCTGTTTCTTTCCAGCTAGAGATGTTTGTCCTGTGTGTCCAGGGTGTTTGGAAAGATGTTTTTTCCCCTCTGTGAAGGCTTTGAAAGAAGCTATAATCTTCATATGCATTTACCACATGCTCCAACTGAATTTTACCTATGGTTAAGCGCTCTCGGTATGAGAGAACACAACCTCTATTTAGTATAAAATTTGGCCAGGCTTTAAGGTGCGTGCTGGAGAGCCCCTGCAGCCAGCAGAGGCAAGGAACCAACCATCAGTGCTTTCTGTCATCTGCCACACAACAGGGCACTGTGCCACTCAAGTTCTGCCAGCTCAGAAGCACCATGTGTGGAGGTACATCCCTAATTCGGTTAAGGATACATTCTAGCAGACCCCAAACTTTAAGTTCGCTGATGCCAGCTGAAGGTAGGACTCCTGATGTCACCTTCTAGACTTCTAATCTATTTTATATGGACTAGAAATTACAGGAATAAAACTGATTTATCCAGCTAATTGTGGGTACCACTCTTTTGACTATCTTATCCTCACTTAAGTTCACAACTTTAAGCTCTCCCAGAGGAAAAGCAAACTGGCTGTTTTCTAAAATAACTGCATGCAATGAGAGAGAAGAATTCTGGCAGGTAACACAGCAGAGAGGGACACAGATCCTGTTCGGGCTCTGACTCCCTCTCTGCATTACAATATGCTGCAAAGTAACAAATCCAGGCTCTCACAGCACCTGGGAAAAATTTCCTGCTTGTCCACCTTTCCTTGCCCGTCCACCTTTCCTGGCCCATCCACCTCTCCTTGCCCTGGAAGGGAGTTGTGATTGACTCCCATATCCCTGATATACGTGACAGTCTGCAGCTCACGCCAGCCCTACCAGCTAACATACCTCTCCTGTGACTGCATGTTCAGCCGCTGTCAAACTGCGAGCCTGCCTTCCTCCACTACCCTTTGTGCTGTCAGTACCAAGCAAGTTACATTTTTGGAAAGTCTCTCCCTACCATTACCCAATTAATTCTTCATGCACTTTTAATTTTTTTTTTTAACAGCATGAACCAGGCATTTGGAAAGCTGTAGGCTAAAGACATTTAACAGGGCAAACTACTCGAGAACATAAAGATACTGTAGGAAAAGCCATAATGCTAATGCCACATGCAAGTTATATTTATTTAGCTAAGCTGGAACACTGTCAGCTGAAAACACTAGCTGCTTTCTAAGGGAAAATAGAGCAGTCATTTCACACAATTGAATTGATTCAATATGGTTGTTAAAATACATTAAAGCTGCTTTGCCAATTGACTAATGTCTGGGAGACCCGTTGTCAATTACACTAGTTTGTAAGCCATCAAGTACATGAATACAAAACAAACAAAGATAATGCCCTTCGTTATGTTATTCTATGCACTTGACTTCCCGTGTACAATATCTAAAAAAACATATGAGCTGCACTGCTGTAGACCATATGTTTTATTAGTCATAAGTGTCCTGGCTGGTGCATTCAGCTAACTGAATTTTAGCTGTAGTAAAGGAAGCAAGGAGGCAAAAAAAGAAAAACCCATGCGTTCTTTTGCATGACTTGCATGGCATGTGAATTAGGCTTCCCCAGCATGAGAAAGCTTCCTTTTGCTGGATTGCCCAAGGCTGTGGGTACATTTGTTTTCCTTTGTATGCGAGTTTTACAGAAACAAAATCTATGCTTTGCAACCTTAACTTCCTATTACTGACACAGCGATAAGCCAAGCAGTTAAGGCACTGTGCGTTTACCTCCTTTTTGTCTCTAAAGACATCGATCTCCTTTTTGAGCAGTTCGACTCTTTGGAAAGCTTCGAGGCTGGTCACGGCATACACGAGAACGAAGCCATCAGCAACAGAGAAATAGTGTTTTGGCAATTCTACGCCCTCCTGCAGACCCCTGGTGTCATAAAGCCGTAACTGTTCCTTCACGCCTCGGTCTGTCTCCACCGATGCCAAATACACATCTTCCATTGTGGCACCCTCTTCTAAGCCTGTTTTAAAACAAGCAGGAAAGTTCAACTAGGGTTAAGTACAGCACCACTATAAGAGTTACTCGCAGTGCAGCAGAACTTTACCCCACAATACCTTTCAATGCGTGTTTTCCAGAGTAACTTGACTTGGACTCGACCTTCCCTGACATCCCCATTGAAGGGCTGTATTCATAGATCACCACGCCAGCTATTTACAATAGCAACATTGCATAAATACAACCATCTAATATATGGGCACATGATTATGCCTGTAAAAATAATCTATACAGCATGCACAGTCAGGATAGGCTAAGATGTGGTACTTAGATATAGTACTTCAAGACATGGTTTAGTAGACATGGTGGCATCAGGTATACGGTTGGACTTGATGATCTTTGAGGTCTCTTCCAACCATAATGATTCTATGAATCTAAGATATATGGCTCTTCTCCCAGGTTTCCCAAACTCCAACCACCCAGTGTACCAGTTCTGTGCCAAGCGTGCTGCAAACAGGCCTGCCCAAACATACCCTTTTGGAAGGACAGCCAAGGAACACCAGATAGTCAAGTGCTAACATCTTGAGCCTACTTCTTTGCTTGATACTGAGCTGGATCATATGGTAGAAGCAGGAGCCAAAGGAATATTTCTGGAAATGAATGTGTATTGGTAGTACAACTAACCAACAAGTGAAATCAAGCTAGAAAGGGAAGGGGATGTTTGCATGCAAGCAAAGTTGCATGCTATGTTTACTCAAATACACAGTGAGATTTTTTCCATCCCTTAGGGATTTAAAATTACTCAGATTTGCTAATAAGAGCAAGCTCATTTCCTGCAAGGTAAGAACATGCACAAGGTAACAGGCTTTCACATATATATCACCTGTTGCATGGTAACTATCTGCATACTGGCTCTCGTTCCTTCCTCTCTCCATAGTGAACCTGAGGTAATTCAAGGGAGCTCACTTTGACCTAATTAAAACTACTTTTTTCAAGCCAAGCCTGAAAACACATAGATCACCTTAAGCTTTGTGTTCCCCCTGGATGCAGGTGCATAAGGTTACAGGTCCCAACAAACTATGTATAGCATAGCTGGGCCACTTTCAGTATTGGTTTTAAGTATCCATATAAACTTCTGCAATCCATGTTTTTGCCTCCACTGCACTCCTATATATGTGAATTGTTTGCTGTTGCAGGGCTACAGTAATGAATCCCGCGTTATTCTGTTTGTCTGCCAAAAAGGGACCATAACAGTGCATTGTTTAAGAAAACACGAGGGATTATCTGGCCTGTGAAAATAAGGATTTTGCTATATTCAGTGACACTATTCAAAATACTTCACATTGACAAACAAGCTAAAGCATTCCACCCACGCTGATGGTTTCCCATGATGTATGCCGCATTCCTGTGCAGGAAAGTGGCACAAGCTGTTCTTTTTGCCCCTCTCTGTGCAGTCTTCATAGATCAAATTCTTATTAGGTTTGCAACAAATTAATTTATCTCACCTCCAAATATAGCCACGCTAACATGCAGGAGCAAAACTAATAGCAGAAGGACAAAACAAAGGTTAATAAAAAGAGGAAGCACGAATGCATTCTGCGTGGTTGGAGAATGTGTTACAAGGGCATTTTGAAAGACTGAAGTAGTAACAGAGCCCTTTCTGGATACAGCACTGTTCTATAGATCTAGCGCTATATTCTTGCTCTGCCTCATTGCGTTGTACAGACAGGTCAAGGAAATTACCTTGTTCACTGTGTGAACAATAGCGTCAGTAAATACTACTTTGGCAAGAAGGAATGAACCATAAGTACCTAAGTTTTCTTTTTAGAAAGCAATGAATGATGCTTTACAGGCTTTTACCATCTAAATGCTGTACTGTAATTCACCAGTCTGTAATATATCCACATTCTCTTGTGACAGTCTCTTCCTAATGGCATTAAAAGTAGCAGTGAAAATTATGTCTTTTAACATCCTACTTGAAAACGAAGAGGAAAAATTAAGACCCGGGACTTAAGTCAGCAGAATAGAGCAACAAATTTTGATGTCAAATGGGGGGGCGCTTTAGAGGGAGCTGGAATTTATGCATCAGTATCAGATTCCAGAGGTGAAATTTCACCTACGTACATGGGGGGAGGAAGTATATGCAAGTAGATGCCTAAGCAAACCCAGACAATTTTTAGACATACTTGTGTCACCTTATTCTAGGCCCTGCTTCTAAAGCCCAGACAGCGTGCTAGCCACATCTTACTGACAACGATATGTACACTTCTTGTTCGTACCGTCCCATTCACTTTCCCAGTCTCTATTCAAACACGTGCCAGGCAAGTTGTTGTACGAGCAGCAAAACTAGTCAGGAAAGCCCAGTGTCCTAGGAAGGAGTCTGGCACCGTCCCACCCTCCCTGTCACAAGGACCCCAGTTCTCCTTTCCTTCACTGGCGTCCCCAGGCATCCTCCCACCTTCGCTACCTGGGTGGCCAAGGGCAGGTTGTGCTGGGGAGTTACTGCCCTGCAGACTGCTGCTGGCTCAAGTAGGTTTTCCTTGGAGGAGGGCATTATCATGGGCCTTTCCTCTTTTTCCTGCTACCAGTTTTTCTACGTTTACAGAAACATATTTTGAGATATCTACTGCTGTGACACAGATGAACGGGCAGATGGAACCAACTTTCAGGTTCAGAAGCTGTGGGGGGGAAAGGGGAACTAACACGATAGTGAATAATCTCATTGTTTCTTTGGAAACTAAAGATGAAAAAAAGTTAGGGAGGGGAAGGAGGAATAGACAGGAGATTGATGTCGTTCTCTAGTGCCTACTTAGCTGGTACAAGTCTTGGGAGAGGCAGAAAGGCCTTTGTCTATGTTACCGACTGCTGCCACAGAGGAACTGCAAGGGGAAGCCTCAGTCATAAACTGGGTGGTGTTTCAACCCCTGGTGGTTTCCCAAAGAGGAAAAGAGAAGGCTCAATATACTAATGAATACTGCACACGCAGGCTAAGCAAGGCAGAGATATTGCAAATACCGAAATAAAGCAAAATTTCAAGATGGATGGAATTTCAGAAGTTCCCAAGTGACTCTTGAACATAAATGCAGTGCAAATTTTGTGTCTTCTTGAGCACTTTTGAAGATCTCCTATGTAACCTCTCCTTCTCTCTTTCCAGCAACAAAGAGCTCCTAAAGCCTGCTATTCCTTGTGTTTGTAAACTGCAGGATAACAGGCTTTGCTTACTTAGATCTCAAAGAACGGTGTATCAGAAGATCCCTGACTCAGAGAAGAGCTGGACAGGCCTCAAAAGGAGCTGGTCTATTTAGATTTAGCTGCTAGTTAAGTACTGGCCCCACCAACCAGTAGCCATGGTTGTGACCCTCAATTGCATACATTCGGTTCCATTTTCAGCTATTTCTAAAATACAAAGCTGATTGCAGCTCTATCAGGAAGTAGTTTTGCTTTAGGAAACAAAGATGTAAGAATGCAGAATTTGGGCAATTAGCCTCCGCATCTCTGGAGCTGTGAAAGCCAAAACCCCAAATCCCTCCAGCTGAGACCAAGTGAGGCAAATTCTCTCGTTATGGGCTCTACCACAGTAATATATGGTGTTTTCATTCCTAGCTAGTAAGATGATTTGAAGTAGCTGCTTATGAATAACCTGACCATACCAGCTATTTACACAGCCAGGAGGCAGAGATAAGGAAAATTGTGTTTTCTGCAGGAGGAGTTCTTATCTCCTCCTGTTGAGCTGATAAGCTTTACCATAGGTTGAGAAGCCAGAGATATTTTAAAGGCAGAAGGAAGACTTCTTTCTGCACCATCACTGAACAGGGACACTGTTTAAGAAAAAATACCTATCCTCTTTACAGACATGTTCTGTGCCAAAGTTAAGCTAGCAACTCTCCTGTTAGCCCTCTCAAGAGAGCTCAGGCCAAGCAATGCCAGGTACCACAGGTATTTAGTGGGACAATCTTCTACTGCCAAAGACCCATTTCATGACCGAGGAGAAAAGACTGGCCCCTCTTTCTTCAGGACTGCAAGAGAAGGTGGAGGATTTGGACAAACACAACATTGAAGCCACAAAAAGAGAGATCACCTCAGGTACCAGGCAACTGTATACATATGTGCAAGATTTAACAACTATTTGGCCTGACCTATGCCAATATAGTCCCTACATGACTCAAAGCACCCGTTTCAAACATCTCGTTTCAGGTTTTGTCTGATTCCTTCCATCAGTTTAGCCAGAGAGGCTGCCATGCAATACATACGTTACTTTACATGGCTCTGACAGCGTCTCTCATCTTCTTGCCCTCTCCTTTCTCATCCTAGGGCCCAAAGCAAACAGCCCCTCTTGCAGTTTTGGAGCCTAGCACAAAGCCCAGTACCACATATCGTTGCTCACATGCTCCAGGAACACAGATGCTCCTTTTCGGGGGGTATTCCTCCCTCCCAAGTACTTTTTCCTCTTTGACCTCAACCAATCTTAGTGCCATTGCAAGCGTGCTAGCTGCTGACCGTGTAAGCAACTTGGGGACTTCATCCATCACAGGCCAGGGAGAGCTGAAGGTGCACATTTTTCTAGGAAAAGAAACACAGTGCAACTGGGCTTACAGCACCATCACCAAGCACACAGCCAGGAGCATGGGCTCAAAGCCAAGTGCTTTATATAGCAGCATGAAACCTCCACGGACACTAATTACTTCCCTGACAGCAGCTGTGACACCACTCCTTTTTATAGGAAAGTCAACAGGAGGCACGTGAGCACCAACATGGACTCGTGGCTGATGTACAGGCAGGAGGAGACCCCCATGCCAGTGGCTGGGACACCTCGGAGGATGGCACCAGGCCTTGTGCTCTACGACCAAGTTCGAGCACATCTCTTGTCACTGGGAGGAGGATGTGGATGCCGTCAGGAATGGAGAGACTCCGTGCCTTGGCTCAGCAGTCTTCCCCACGGCTTCCCGGCCCTCGGACCGGCCACAGAGCTGCTCCTGACGTCAGTCAGGAAGCACAGGTTTTGAAACAGCTTGTGTTCATGTTGCCATACCCGGTGAGCTGCCTTGCTGTTTGGCTCTGAACAGACAGGCTTTCAGCACACACACTAGTCCTTTTGCCTCCTGCCAAAAAGGCCAGCCGCCAAGATGTGCATGTCAGCTTTCTGGAGCTCGCACGGTTTAGGAAATGAAGGTCGAGATTCAGTAATCATGTTTTAAACGTGGAGGGGCCACCCCTGCAACGATAGCACCAGCAACAGGTCTGTGCAGTTTAAAGCAGCCCAGCTAAGGAGCAATCAAAGACTCGCCATTCCTCAAACTCTGTCCTTGCCTAGTGAGACCCTCACAGTGGTCTCCTGCCTCCACAGTTCGAGGGCTGAATCAATAGTAATTGGAGCAGTAGCTAAAGGTCTTCTGGGAACCATTTTCACCAGCTTGTACTTCAGACACACTCTGCCAGAACCGCTCATGGGCTGAGGAAAAGGCAGGGGGGACAGTGATCACTCAGTGAGACTGACAGAAACACCAACATATCAGTCCACCCCCCAAAATGTGCCTGATGGCACACGTGGGTGATAGCAAAATCGCTGGGCCACAGCCGCTCATCCCTTGGGGCTGCAGTGGCTGTATGTGAGCCCTCTCCATACTCTGATCTTGACTCTGCTATTTGCCCTCTTTCTCCGAATGTCTTGGGAATAAGATTTGACCAAAATCCTAGAAAACAGGAGACTACCTTCTTCCTTCTCCCCTTGTACTCCTCTTCTGCTATCAGCTGCTCCCTCCCTCACTGTTAACTTAAAAAAATAAGAGCAGAGCTGCAGGAAAGGAAAACTGATCTTTTTAAGAGAGAGAGGGGGAAATCTGCGTTGTGCAACAGTCAAGCTGGAGTGGAGCGTTCAGGAACGACAGAGAGACACCGGCAGCTAAACTCCGGGCACGAGGCCTCCCTCCGGTTATGTCAGCCAGTATCCGTGACGTTGTATAATCGTGTACATGGCTGGCTCCATAAATAGCTTCTCCAATCAGCAACACTCAAATATCCTTCCTGCCTGGGTCGCTAATAGGAGCTTGGGGCAGGAAGTAACGCAAGGCAACACGATTTAAGTAACGTGGCCTTGCTCATCCTGCTCGGGTGTCTCTGACAATCACCCAGCCCGGCGCAGAGGAGAGTCAGGTTGGCAGCAAAAGGGAAAAACCTTCAGCCTGTAGGTTTTGCTACCTTCACGCTGAAAGCTACACGGGGCTACGTGCATAGCGCTCGGTAGGATGCTGGAAACAGATGTTGCTGCAATATTAGAGGAAATCCTCCTTTTAAACAAGGGTATTAGCATGCAGTTCTGTATCACGCTTTGCCAGCAAATTCCTCCCATCCACACATTTTAAAGGCGCAGTGCCTGCAAAGCACCGTTGTAGAAATCCTAGGGTTTATCCAGTAACTTACCGCAACATTTAATTTACCGGTCCAAGGAAAAGATACAAATTGACTAGACATCTTCTGTCAAAGCCCTGAGATTCACCCCTGGTGCCACCCCTTGTTTCTGGGCGAGGCAGGAATAATTTGTCAGCCTGATGATGGTTGTCCATCCTCGCAAAGCTAAGTCATATGGAAACAGGGGAAAAAAAGCCGGCTTTGCCTTCATTCCCTTTCTTTCGTGCACAGCAAGTCTCAGCCATCCCCTGCTCCCCTCTCAAGTTCGTTTTCCATGGGAGGATTTCTTTGAGAGCCAAGAAGCTTGGCCCTTGAAGTTCAGCATGGAATATGGGACGTAAAGCTGAGCTGTTTTTCTTTCCAGTGCTTTGATTAAATATTAGCCAAAACCAAGCAAAATAATGCTTGAAGAAGATGGAACAAAAGTCTAAACAGTCTCTCCACGCATCATGTGACATCTATTTATTTTTCAGGCATCTACAGCATCTTTCAGGGAATGAGATATTTCTTATGAAAACAGGCAGCAAGCACATCACCTACTTTCTGTGTTTGTTTCTTTATAAACATTCACATATTTTATAACCGGGAACATCACAGAAAGGGTTCTTCTCCACGCCTCTTTTAAAAATCAGTAAGGAAGGGACTACGAGTTTGAAGAACCACCCAGAGATGCAAAAAACCCACATTAATTTCCTCCTTCGCCTCAGTACAGTTTGTGGTCCTTGGTTATCATTTTTTTGGGGCCTACACAGAAGATGCTGGAAAAGAAAACAATCCCCCCCAAAAAAGTAAAAATATCTCACCAACATTATGCTTTCCATAGAGAAGCTGCTCCAAAATCGCAGTCTTTCCCACCGAGGCCATTCCACAAACCACCACCTTGTAGCCCTTTCCCATCCTTCCTGGGAGGGCAGCGGCAGCAAGCGAGCCCTGTGCAGACACAGGAGTCTGTTAGCCTGGTGCGGTGGCAGAGCTCAGCACCCGACAGAAGCAAAGCCCACAAAAGGCAAGAAGCAAAACACGAAGCAGCGGGTGACTCGGAGGCACAGCTCCCTCCCAGGCACTCACCAGCGACTGATATTTTTAGGACTAGAGTTTCCTCCCACACCATTTTTTAAGGTTTTAGGCTGCTGCCGTTGGTGCCAATGCCTGCCTGCAGCCTCGACACTTGTCCTCTTGGGCTCGGGGAGACTGTTTGTGAGCACTGAAGTGTGTAAATCCTCTGGGGCAGGGGCTGTGTTTGTTGGGGTGTGTGTACACTGCAAAACATGCACTATTGGGCTTTGTGGTTTTGCGGGCCTGATGGTATCAGGACGGCCTCTGGAAATGCAACAAAATGGCAGTTCCTTCCCTTTATTTCACGCACAGAAAGTTTCTAGCTTTTACTAGGATCTAGAAAATCAGAGTGTTAAAGGCAGAAGCACAGGAAAGCAAATGCAAAAGCAGGTTTTTTTGGTCTGCTTTAAATCAGTTTGGATGGGTGGGGGTTGGTTTCAGCCGGAGGCCTCCAGAAGCCCGGGCCAGTTCCCTCTGCTAGTGAGCCATGGCAGGGCGGCAGGCCCTAGCTCTCAGATCGCCGTTTGGAGCCGTTTGCCCCGGAGAGAGCTGAAGAGTACCTTTTTAGGACCAGGAGGGGCTGGCGTTGTCCTGCTTTGATTCCAGTTTAACTGGGTAACACTTCACAAGCCAGGGTGCTCTGCAAAGTACACACCGAAAAACAGAAAGGTCACCCCACGGGAGACATTCAGGCAGGGAAAGCCTAATTCCCATTTTGATTCCCCAGCAGAGCCCGACACCTCCACAGCAGCACGGCGGGTACGCTGCTGGGAGCCAGAGAGGGGGACAAAAGCCCCCTCAGCACCAGGCCTCGGCCCTGCTCCTGTGCAAGTGGGTGCAGGGCAGGCCACAGAAATGCTGGGGCACCTGTGCAGCACCGAACGCGGGGGGGACGTGAGGAGATCGGCACGGGGTAACGCCGGGGCCTTGGGCTGCTGACCCTCACCTCCTCGGGGAGCCCCAGGGCAGCCACCCCC